ATAGCTTCGAGAAATGCAGTTACTCTACAACAGGAGCTTTAAATGTTTACATACCGGTGGTGGATTTATGAAGTCCCAAGAACGGATTTCGCGACCACAACAACAGAATCAGAAGACATAGACAAGGACATAGAGATGGTATGGACAAAGTCCACTATCCGACTGATTGGCAGCGTACTCTAACAACATGCTATCTAGTTAGACACCTGATATTGACGTCGGAAATTACATAAGAATCACAAATCTGAATACTTATTGATTGGTGCTTTTTCATCTTCGTCTTAAAAATAGCATGAAATACTCAGTTCAGATAATGATACGGAGTTTCGTTAGATGAAAGACATCCATTTCAACTAAGGTTCGACAATGGTCACAAATATGTCACAACATGAAAACGACGCCTAAGGTTTGTCTGTTTGAAAGTTATGGCGAATCTGAAGTGCTATAGATAATGAAGCAGGAATCCTCTAGTTGTTTATTATCGTCACCAGCAAGTACTAAACACAACTGTGAAGAGTCGCTGCTTCTGTTATTCAGATGAGATCACTTGGAGGAGCTGAGTTTGGACGAACTACACGATCACCGACTTGCTATTAGTTTCTTATTGGTCGCACTTGACTGCAACGTTTCAAACTACAAATTATCATTCTTCTAATAATAACTTATATTCCCCACATCCGCATCAGTAAATTTCTTAGGATGACTTATGATTTTACAATTACTAGGGTTTCGCAATCTTATTTCGACATCATTACAGCGATAACATCCAAGCACAACATATCTCGCCAAAGACTGACGACTAGTCAATGGGCTTAAACCTTTTCAAGCCCGATTACATGAACAAAGAGTCATCCGGTAAGCAAATAGTAGTCTGAAAAGGACTGCATGGTGATATAGTTCGAGATAACTTAAGAGAAAATACGAGTTCAGGTCCTGATCTTTGGAAATAAAGTAATGCTTTACAGCAAACGATACATGTAAACAAGAGGAACATAATGTAGTTACCAGGCCTAACTCAAGTTTACTTACAAGGAAGACTGTTTTATTTTCAGTCAGTAGCCAAACAAGTATACACTTTAGAAAATTGATGAGCCTGCTCAGATTTTCAGATGATAAAGCGCATTAAGGGAGTCACCTTAACGATATATGTCAGCATAACAGATATAAACAAATCGATAACTAGATCTTTATATACTGACCGTAGCTGCTACCTTAACGTGGTGGTCGGGCTTGACTATCGTGATGACCCGACCGAGCTATATTGGCTGTAACAAATGTTCCTGAAGGCTTTACTATGCCAGGCAGGTCGATCGGAGAACGATGAGACTAAAAGCAGCTACTCAAGGTTTGAGGGCGAAGTCGCACTGCTGACTGCAGAGGGGTGTGACAGCAGTACGTTGTTTCCCTCGAACAACCAGCATCTGCAGCGATGCTGCCTTCTCAGAAGGAAGGAAGGATTAGAAAATGTCGACCCTAAACATGTCACACCCCACCCTGATTCATGGATTTCCGTCTCCGGCAGAGCTCACTTATTTCCGCCTGTTATTCCCAATGGAGCATAAGTCGCCAACCAGTTTTCTCCAACCAACTCTGTCCTGGGCTTCCCTTTCTAATTCTGTCCAATTTTTGTTCATTCTTCTCATATCTTTCTCTATTTCTCGGCGTAATGTGTTCCTTGGCCTTACTCTTTTATTTGCCTTGACAGTTCCAAGTGAGTGCTTGTGTTCTGGCGCAGAGCTAATACTCAAAAAACCTTTATCGAAAAGGTCGTGCGTGACCGATCTGAAGCAGTTGTTGCTTAGGCTCTGCAGTCACGCTCCCAGGCCGTTAAGACCAACGCTAATCTACTTTCTTTTTCATGTTCCTCAAGAAAAATCCTTCCACCGTGAGGGCAGCTGGGAATTCACGTCCGCCCTCATACCCATAGAAGCACACGAAACCGAGTTGGTCACAATCAAATCCTTTCTACACCTAATAACTCTCTTATCTACTCGACCGACCCTTCTTTCGGTCGTTTATCACCTCACGCCACTAGAGTACACGGTACGAGCTCTCGACACATTATTCCTGGTCTCGTACTAAATTACATATAGGAGCTCTTAATGCTCGGACCCTATGCCAAATAGGGCAACAGGCTTTATTAGTTAGAACTTTGGAATCCCGGGCGATCAATGTATGTTGCGTTTCTGAAACGCGCTTACAAGACACGAGTAAAATCACCTAGTGCAGATAGACACAAGATTTACGCCTCGTTTTTCCTGAAGCCCTGATGCCGCTTCTCGTAGCCTCGCCGGCGTAGGTATAGTATTAAGTCCTGGGGCAGAACAAACTCTCTTAGACTGAGTCCCGATAGACAGTCGCATATGCGATGTCCGACTAAACGGGACGGAGTCGGAAGGATAGGGACAATGGCCGCTGCCTTTTCGTCGTATCCGCCTACTCACCCACTGAATGAAGTTCAGACGACATAAAAGATAAGTCTTATAGAAACCTCTCTAAACTTTCCAAAATATGAGGCACTCTGATGTCATAATGGCTGGTGACTTTAATGCTCAAGTAGGTGGACTAAGTAAAAAAGAAAAACGCCTGGATGGATCTTATGGTGTCGCGGCTTATAGAACAGATAATGGCGACCGTCTGCCGCCTATTCCTAGCTAACACTAACTTCAAGCATAAAGTAGAACAACTTTTGACCTGGAGACGCACAAAGCCGACCCAACTAGATCACATCGCTATAATCCATTGGTGAAGAGGCTTTGTTGAAGACTGCCGCTCATTCTGGAGCATTTGTGTAGACTCAGACTCTAGTGCGAGCGCGTATTTGCCTATGCCTTACTGGACGCAAGAAAAATATCACAAGGGAACTTCTTAGGGCTCTACTTATTGACAATAAAGCTAAAAATATATATCAGGAACAACTGAAAAAAACAGTTATGCAGCCATATGGCAAGTGATGCCCACCCTGGGGTAGCTTGTAATAAAATCAAAAAAGCTGTGGAAACAACAGTGATATCTGCTAGTAAGGTAAACTATAAGGCTAGAATGAATCCTTGGATATCAGTAGTATCCACCAAACTGATGGATGCTCGGAAACTTATCCCTCCAGGCTCTGAGTACGATGAGGAGCGAAGTCAGGTCAGGTGCATGCTGATAAAAAGCCTACGCAATGATCGAGGAAAGTCATGGGTAGCGAAAGCAAGGGAGATGGAAAAGGCAACAGTAAGCGCTCATTCAGACTCATCACGGAAACCGGTATTAGGAACCCGAATGTGAGTGAAACTATCTCTGAAAAGGATGACTGTCATTCATTCTCAGCCCAGGAGATTCGATCGACTGGCAGAACACTTTAGGGATCAGTTTAACCGTCCTTCAGCAGAACGTCGGTTGCCCACGATCTCCAGTCATCCTGAATGGGAAACAGACATAAACCATCCTAGTCTGTATAAGTTGAGAAAGCTACAAGGAATCTAAAACGAGGAAGAGCAGCGGTTCCTGACACGTTTACCCCAGAGATTCTCAAGGATGATGGTCCAGGTTTAGCACCTAGATTTATCGAGATCCTGGGTAGAGTTTTGGAACTGGACGTAATCCCATCTGACTGGTCCCAATCCTTGATTGTCCCAATTTATATGAAATGACAAAAGTCTTCTTGTGACAATCACAGGGGAATCAGTCTAACTAATATAGTTTCTAAACTGTTAGCTTCAATTATCCTTAGACACCTAACTAGAGCTCGTGAAGAGCAGAATAGAGTAATTCAGTCTGGTTTCAGACCTGGATGTGTCTGTATGGACCACATCTTCACACTGCGACAAGTCCTGAAACACAGAGACGTTTGGGCGTCCGGCAATAGTACATGCAGGCTACCTGGTTTGGGTCCGCGCGATGATAATAATCGATGATTGAGGACCCTGAATGACATGGCTCAAAACCGTTTACAATGGCGCAGGTGCATTTACTTTTTGTGTTTCATGACATTATAAACTGAATATAAAAACCTCTACCTTTCTCTGTATATATATTCACCTCAATTATACTTCTTGAATAACATCTTCGAACCGTAATCTCTCCGATTACTTCGTATACTTTTACTACCTCTACTACTATGGGATTAGAATTCACAATGTCTCTGTGCTATCGTTGTATGGTAACTTGAACTGCTGTACTTACGTGCAAAGTTCTACGTTTCTGTTGATGTCTTGATATAAAGCAAGAATGGATACCAACCTATGCATTCAGGAGCCTAATACAAGAAGCTAAGTCGACAAGGCAGTAAAAATAAACTGTATTAGAACTATCATTTGACTAAACCAACAATTTGATCGAAAGACGTCATAAAATGTCAAGTGGCTTATACTATTGGTGAACAGGCCATTGAAAGCACATCAGCAGTAATCGCCGTACGTTGAAACAATGACTTAAATTGTACATTAATAGGAATATAATCAGCCTAACTTAAGCCGTTTGAAGACGTACACAATCAACGGAAGTCTAATCCACTGTACCTTCGCTAAGAGCGTTACAAGGAACCCAAGCAGTAACAAAAATTAACAAGCTATAGAGATAATAAAGATAGATCTGGATATTTGTCTTCTTACTTGGCGGTGTTCAATTAAAATAGACTACTTATGTGCAGCTGTCAACACTGCTGGTAAGCCCTCATATTCCCTACTATTCTGACTCGACAAGTGGGACACCAACTGCAAGGTGAAATGCGGATTGCAAGGATGAAATGTGATGAGTATACAGTTAGTATATGCCACAACCGCGATGGTGTGCTTTAGTTTGAATCGTCGAAGAGTAAAGAGGAAGTTATATCTAGTTTCCTCAACAATGAGGAAATGGAATAAACCATCGAGATTTCTTAATTTTAGTCAGTTTAACTACACGCTTAATACGTATGAGTGGTTGAACATACCAAATCCCATTAATGCAATTTAGAATCATCCCGAAATTCAGAAAAAGAGTTATGTACCGAAGACATATAATCAAATAATATTCTAGCGCTTTCGTCGCATCTCTACAGTATTGAGACGTTTCCACGCTGCACGTCTAGAACCACCAATAGTTTTATGGAATTTGTGTCCATGTCCAAGACCTCTTGACTTATATCCAGCTGACGTAAGACCTCGCATTTCTCTGTGTTTCTGGTGGGCTTTGCATATCCAACGTATCTGAGGGTCACGTCTAATGGCCTTATGGAAAGGATCTATGCAAATAACTTCGAAGAACTTAAACGTGCTATCCTCCCCAACCCAGTATGAGTTCAAGACACGAAGAGCACCGCACTTTCGACCTACTCGCTCCTGGAGAACAGTTAAGTTAAACAACTAAGTTACCTCTGCAATAGCTTGTATTGACCGCTGATTTTTCAACTGGTTAACACCCTCGCCTGCAGGTTTACCATATGTTGCACCCTTTGGTACTTGTCGCTTTCTACCTCCTCGTCGAATTCGAATACGATAGATAACATAACCTTGTTTAGCCTTATAACCTAATCTTCTGGCCCTGTCAGGTCGAGAGGGTCGAGTAACACGGACGATTGCATGAGTTTGTCGATATTCCCAACATCTCATGCGTTGTATATAACGCATAACATCAGACTGTTTGCGGCGATAAAGCTCTTGCATAAACTTATACGCGCCCATGATTCCTGAGAATGAAAGATTATAGAAACATATAAACTGAACGAACAACTCACAGTCACGCTAGGACTACAGTTCGCTTCCCGCGTAATGTAACTACACCAGAACTTGTGAAATAAAACAAATCAATTTGAACTATTGTGACATGCTTTGCATACATCTTACTAAATAATGAAAATCACAGATTCTTTAGCAATATTTGATTGCACGCATTAGCTATGTCAAATCAAATTGTTTTGATTACGATCATAACTCTAGATCTAAGCCAATTATTTGTTTGTTTTGGTTTAAGAGGATGACAATATTCACTAGGAATATGTAGATTTGAATTTTCACTGATTCAAATGAATAAATATGTACTAAAAATAAAATAATACAATCATCAATACTAAAAGCCATACAGGTATTTGGAAGAAGATAAAGAGACTAGAAATTTTTAACTTATCAAAAAAGTAAGAAGTGATGAATAAGTGATTGCAGAGGACGTTGCTATTTTAAATTTTCCAACTCATCACCCTTCAGACTTTTGGATGTCAGAGTAGGTTTCCTATGTTAGTTCTACATAACCGGTAAATAAAATCCATTGTCGTGTTTTGCTTTTTGTTCGCACTCATTTCGCTAGAATGTACATTGTTTCACACAACTTATCCGACTTAGGAAATACTCCACTAAGATAAAATTTGTGTAGAATTTCGTGTCAAATCACATGGTCATGATGTATTTACGACAGGAGTTCTTCCTTCTGTCATTAAATCCTCCTTACAATTTTATTCCTTAATTCATAAGTAGCTCAGCTTTACTCACTTTTGGAACTAAGACGTGAAGCGATCACTGCAAAACATTCAAACTTTCGTGTGGCTCAAATCTTCGTATCACACACTCTTCATTTTTCTTAAAGTTCATTCGCTCGGTTTCAGGAATGAAATGTCGCACCTGTCGTCCTGAATAATAGAATTAAATAGAGAGTATATGTATCCGTTAAGTCAGTAGAATATAACCTTACCCAATACCAAACAACCATCACAAAACTAACTTATCTAGATCTTTGGTGAATGGCCACTGAAAATGGAGTGGGTTAACGAGTTACATCACAGTCAAAGACTGATAAACAACATGTCTCAAGTTCATGACGGATAGCAGTAAGAGAATATGTTCACTGATTTTCGATAATGCGTTATGCGAACAGAATCGCATAGCCACCACATTTCGACACTCCACTCCGCACTGTCGTCATTGTCATAAGTTTGGCAAGAAATAAAGTTAGGGAAATAATCATTACACTGCTGGTGTAACCCAGATGATTATCATTTTCCTTAGTAAACTTGGCTTGAAGCTACTCCACCTGTTACTTTTACTCATGCACCTCATCATAATTTTTATCTTCTTTTATAATCTTCCGGATACCGAAATACCCATCATCGAGGTCTCCAAGGTTCCAGAAGATGAAAAAAGTGTTCTCTAAGGCCTTCCTTAATCGGATATTTCTCAGAAACACCTATATGGTGAAGAATTGCGTGTTACATTTTTGACTGGCTTTTCCCTTGACGATTACTACATGCAGTGTTCTAACATCAAGTCTTTAGAGTCCAAAGTCACACACAACTCTATAAAAACCCTCGGCTTTTCTGCCAAACTTCGGTACCTTTTCTCTTTTGTTCCAATCGACGTGCATTAAATTAAGAAAGCCGCTAGGAAAGTAACAATAAGCTTCCAAGAAGAAGAATTATCATGTTTGTCTCTAAGTGCTGATGAAGAGTTCCTTTACTCCTGATTGGTACTCAGATTCACAGGTTATTCTGATCAGTGTAAATACCCAATGAACTTGTCAATGCTTCCCTATTGCCATTGCTGATTGTTTCAAGTGCTCGGCCACTGAATGCTAATTATTTTCATCTGCATGGTTTGTGGACTACGACATCATCTGTACAGGAAAAAATTCAGCTTGAAATTGAGGTTATAACATTTTCAGCGACCATGGACGGTTCACCTTGAGACGGCCGTTCCATATCTTAAATGCTTCAGCCCGCTAGCATGTTTACAGACTAGCTTAACTAAGTGATGTGTGTGCCTTATGGAGTCACGCATCCATCAGAAAACACAGAATGACATATACTGATGTTTAACGCATGGTTTTGATCTCTAAGCAAGACGAAATTTCGTATTATACCGCTTATTTATTGACTAATGTCCAGCAGTAGGTGAGCTTGGTTAATCAACCCCTCTCTTGACTATAATAATTCTCCTGCCCCTTATTCAGCAGTGACACTGCGTCATGCACTTAGGAGGGTATGTTGAGTGCTGTAACGGAAAATTTTCGGCAGACAGTTATATCGCGGATTTAGTTAACATAGGCTGAATTGTAAAACGGAGTGTAAGGAAAGCATAATCCTGACGACTAGCGATATAAACTCATTGCATCTATGTATTAACTGATCCCCACTAAGCGATATACATATCTATTTGTTGTCCGCTGGTGCATGTCGAGCGCGAAGGAAACCACTGAAATCGTCAGTAAGGCCGTAATAGAGTGCGTTTGAGTTTAACAGTTGTCATTTCTTATTTCGAGTGGTTTTACACAATAGAGAGAAATCTATACGGGCATTCAAATTGTTTTACAACCACTCTTGAGCGAAGAGCTTTGAGATGCTCCGTGAAGTAAAAGAAAACTTACGACCCATATTTCTACTATTTTCAGAATCAGATCAGATAACGAAATTAATTGGAGAAGAATCATGAGACGAAACAGCTTCTACTGATATTAGATACGGTAGAGAATCACCCTGAGTTTGTATGTAATCAGTTATTTACAAACTCGTCCCAATTAGTTTTATATGTTCAATTTACCATGTTGAAATGGAATGTTGGTATAGTTTCATTAGGAAGACCTCAGTTTTAATCAAGAACAAACGGAAATCTATTGAAAATATCCTTAACTATTTTCTATCGGTTCCACGGACAGCGGTGATAAGAAAATGTATATTTATACATACTTAGTGTAATATATACATGTTACAGTACCATGAAACTGTAGTGTTTAAGTCTGTGACATTAATAGTGCACTTATCTATACTACTAAAGTAGCAAACCCGTTCTAGCTAATCTATGGAATCAAACATGGAAGGCTATAGTCTATAGTGACTTGTCGTATCATGATAGTCAACGGTATGCTTCCAAATACTTCTGAGTAGGGCAGCAGAAATTGTTCATTATGAAGTGTAAGATGTTAAATAGAGTAGTCGTACCCATATGACCGAGATATGCCGTCTTTATCAAGCGTTTCCGCGCTCGCTTTTTCTTATCATCTCCAAGCTTTCATCGGTCAGTGTAAGACTTTACAGTTAATGTGTGTTTCGCTTCGCAGATTGTGTGGTTGCTAAGCAGTACCAAAACAAAGCCGCTGACATCACAACAACATTCTTTGACAGACAGATGATGTTGTCAATGAAATGTATGTCTAAGCAATCCAAGCACTTAGGCGAATGACCATATTTCATTATAAAGTATTACGAAATGGACTTCTTGAGTTGAATGTTCCAATGATGTATACAATAGTAATCAATTACCCATTTTTAGTTATACTCTTAGTGGAGCAGGCAGGTAGACCAGAAAAATAAATGACAGTTTTGTGTACGTCACATTTATTTCGTTAGCTCTTACAGTTTTACGGTCTAAAGTAGCCCAAAAAATGTTTACCAGCGTCCTGATTGGAAAAGAAAATACATAAGCTCATCTATAGCGAAGTTAGTACGTCTGAGTGATAGTAGTGCATTATCTGTATCCCTCGAAAAGGAAGTCAGATCACTAATGATGGATATCGGCTTACTGCATTTTTCTGACTAACGTCTGTAGATGTTATGGTCAAAAGACTATGAACACGTCTATAAACCAGTTAAGTTCGGGTCCAAAGCGTCATCACAAATCTTTTTTCAAGAAGAACAGGATGGGGTTGCCTGGAAGAAAACAGGTATATTGGCTGACAATTTTGTGGTATCGAAGAAATACCGAAGCTTGCCAGGGAATCGAGCGAAGGAATAGAGCAACAAAAGCAAGATGGCAATCGGAAAGAGGAGAAGCGCGTGAGTGCAGTGTAATGTCAGTATACATACAAGAGGTACAAAAGTACAAACAAACAAATGTTTTGGAAAACGTTCACTGGTACAGTTGGTTTCAATAATGAAAGTTGCTATCTAACCAATCGTGAAATCACTACACTTCTGTCAAGCAAAGGCAATAGACAAAGTTATATTCATTTGTTGAGCTCATGAGAGGAGGTGATTTGTCATACTGTCTCACAGACATCCTTCGCATAATACAGAAACAAATCTACTGTATCTTGTAACAATCATTATAAACTAAGTTCATTATTCGGAAAGCCTAAAATTTAAGGAACATGCCTCTTTTATCGTCTCTAAATCTGGACGGCTACTGGAGTTCATAAATAAGAACTTCTTTGAAATGTGCGTAAGGTCGTCCCTTGAAAACTGCTCAACTGATTTTTCAAACATGAATAGCAGAAACAAGATACGATTGACAGATGTCTAACGAAGCTTCATAATGCGACTACCAGGACGTGACTATACTTTTGACTTTGTAGCTAGACGCAAACAACTTTGTGCAAAACTTTTGTTGCACCATCGATACTTTATTGTAAGCGAATAAACGGCATCTTATTTGCAAACTCCTTTCCAATTATGAACCATGACCTCGCTTACACTATTAACTGAAAACACAGAATGTCAGTACGCTGTGATTTCTTTTCAACATGTTATCTTCATTTTGGAACATACGGTCGATTTCCACCCTTAGTTATGACATCATCGCCAAGTTAATGAAGTCAGTAATGGTGTTGTTAGACTCTAAAAAGAATTATCAACCATTTACAGAACTCCCACCCGATTTCGAGGCAGTTTCTAGCGTTCCACCTGATACCTAGATTTATCTTACAAACTGTTAACAGACCATGAATATATCACACCGCCATCGCCATTGATGAGAGTATCACCAAATGATAAACACACGATTCCTCTTCTCCCACTGACCGTTGCAGGTCACAACTTTATGCTACCACCACTAATATTAGGAGCTTCCTTAATATTTAAAGTCTCTCATTTTCTTCTATTAAGTTGTTCATCATTTTTAGTTGCTATCTCAAGTGGGTAGATAAATTACTGAACCCGGATATGCTGCTCAACTATTATGAATTACTTCTAGCTCATGTGCTTCAAGTTTAAGAAACCATGGGGTCTGTAATTTTTAAGCATTTAAAAGTTTTTTCCTAATTAGTCATCTCCTGACTCGGAAATTTTCAACATAAATCCATTTTTCTTCATATCCTTTGATAATATATCTATCAAAACCACCTTCGAAATGCTTATTAGTTGACCAGTATCCTACAGTTAGTTAGTTAGTATCACGTAACTTAATATCAGTATAATCTTCTTAATGGATACATAATCCACTCTACAGAGGCTTAAGCTGTCTCATTTGCTTGTAACATGAGGCCAGTAGAGACATTTTATTCAGGCAAGGTGAGAGGAAGGTAGAGATTAAGATAAAATATTAATTAAAGCATACCACAAACGTAAGAGCCTAACATCACAAAAGAGGGACTTGATTTATTTGACCTGAAGATATGATAAGGGGAGGATGATTTTAGTTTACTAATGTCCGCGGGGCAGAACATGTTGTTTGCTTACGGCTCCTTAAGATGTAACTGGATGTGACTGGCCAATGATACTGACTTTGCTATCCCATGTCAGCTACGTCTCTGACTCATGTATATAACCTTGCATTGTCTTCGTTTCCTACCCAGAAGTTCTATCGCAGGTTAAACAGGGCAGTCTCGTTAATAAAGGTAGTATGGATAAGACAAAAATCAAACAATGAACTGTCACAAGTATATCGAACCATCATATCTTCCCCACTAAATTTTATGGATCTATGCGATATTTAACACTGTGGTTTTTTTAATCTCATTGACTCACAAAGTTATTTTTACTCATTATCAAACCAGGGACTTATTTTCATTAACTTTGTCATTGTAGTTATGCAATAACTGATGTGGTAGCTAATGTGTAGTCCAAGTAATTAGATCTTAGTGATTTATCTACATATGTGTCTGGTGAGTCATGACTCGACTTCACTCACGATTATTTTCGGTTCTACTTCTCACTTTTAGAACTTTCACGATGCACCACCAAAATGAAACGCACAATATTTTCAGGTGCTGACAGTTATTTCTTCCGACAACCTGTTAAATTTATTATCTGGAAAATGCCATTAGGATGAATGTTTATTTCCCTATCAATTCTTGTTGTACACATCTCTGGACTTAACTTGAAGTCGTTTTCGACCATCACTGTTTATCACAACGCAACTGACATGCGTCAACCTTTGAATCGTACATTTGAGTCTCTGAGATACTATTCATAATCTCATATGGAAAACACTACCCCTCTGTTTCTATGACCAGTAAATCTTGTAAAATATCAATAATTGAGGAACTTACTGTGGTAAATGCAGTGGCTTTTGTAACTAATAACCTTGTCACTAAGCTGGTCTGTCTCACGCAACACACTGTTAAATGAGGATGAATGTTGTCATTATTGTAAGCAGAATATAAGTATTTCATTGAAGCTGAACCACATCAGTAACCTATTACAGCAATCATGGTCAAAAATTAATAAGGCTCAAGTTAATGCAGAATTGTTTAAATAGTTGATGTGGATAATAAATCTCTACTTATATGTTTCAGAATTTGTTTGCTGTACTGGGCCCTTAAAAATATTTCTTGAATCAGTACCAGCCAGTCGGATTTATAGTCTTTTTCACTATAATCTGAAACGGCGAAACTGACGGACTAGGCTCCAGAGACAAACATCAAAAAGAATTTCATATCCTATTTTTCTTCATCTACGACCTCATTTTACCTTGTCATTACACTTTGTATCATGGAAAAGAGCAAAGTGGTTTCGAACGGAACGCCCACATAAAGCATAGTTACTGTCGATGATGCAGTTCAACTCGAAAATGTTTGTGATCAATAAAAACGAAGCCCATCCACAAGACAAAACAGCAAATGATACTCAAATCAGTGTTCTCCAATAAACGATAGCTCCGATGTTGTTATCATTATACTGTTAAGCGTGCTACTAAACAAAAATATTCCTTGCAAGCATTTGTGCTATAGAAAATAGGGTTTCCATGAAACTGTCAACTCCAGGGTTTCTTTTAACAACTCCAGCTAGTTGTTTGCCGAACAAAATGAACCGCCTTAACTAGTTGGTGGTCAGGTGGTTCACTGATAAACATCAAAGATTATTCTGAACAGTGAACCGAATCTCCTGCACTCTGAAGATGGCATGCTTTTGACTACATCAACACTGACTAATGTTACCGATTTTGCCACCCAGTCTAGGCTTATCAGGAATGTGAAGTCAGACAGGTATTAAAAGACTAGTGGACTATTTTTAAGTAACCATGATCAGTTCACGGTTACGATAACAGTGAGTGATCCTTAAATATTAAAATGATAAGATTTCTACTGACTGCCTTGGTTATTAAGCAGTAAATCTTTCCGATGACTTAGACATGAAGACTGTCACTCGAAAGTGTCAGTCAGTTTTCTTGATGCTGGCACCAATAGCCTATTAGATAAGTCATCACTTTTCGCTCACAGTCCTAACTGTTTCCAATGGAACAAACCATCAGTCAATAAACCATAAGTCTAGGATATTGGGATGGAAAAGTATATTTGAATTTGAGATAAAGTCGTCATATAGCAATGAGTCTTAACTGAATAGCTGTCGTGGATAGTGAGTTGTATGGCCTGTCGTTAGATGATCTTATGCCAATGCCTGGATAAACGACTTAAGCTCATAGTGTATTCAGTGATGCATATTAGATAAACATGTAAACTGAAGACACTCATAACCATTTACCTTGAGGAATTAACTGCCGACACAGCATCTAATGACATACAAAGTATTCCTGATCCCCAAACTCTGTCATTAAGTTAGTAGATCCTACCAGCGGCAGGATATAACAAAACAAAAAAACCCATGAAATAAAGGTTTTGGAGACCGTTTGTAGTCGTAAGTAGAACCCTTGATGTCGTTGAGTGTAAGACACCACACAAATCACCGTCATACAGAATCATGTTTCTGATTTTTAGACAGTTAACAGGTTCAAAGAAATACCCTGTTTTCTATGACAACGTAAAATAAATTAGGTTCAATGTCAATCCTAGAGGTAGTGTCTAGACACGTATCAACACGACTACAAAGAAAGTACGCCGAGTTGATTTCCGTGTTGAAGAATTTGGTTTTAAGCCAATGTTCGTGGATATCGTTCAAATGATATATAGTAGTGTGAATCAGTCCTCGAGTCGTTTTATGGGAATGTTGCATCAATTCCACCCAACAACAGTTCAGCCATCCCCACAAAAATAGTCACGCATGACAAACCGACAGAATGTCGTCCTGTGTTTATTTGATTGTCATATAACTGTCTGCTACTCTGTTGCCAGTGTTATATCTGTTCTAACTTAACTTCCGGCGACTCAAATTTAACAATGTCAATATGTGTCCAATCCAACTTCAAGGACTTTTAATTGCGATATTTTTCCCACACCACTATTATCAGCTCAATTGTGTCCAATAAGTTGGTTGATTGGTGCTACTATCTGTGTTTGTTAGTTGGAAGACTTATATGCATTTGTATTCTGGCTCCCACCAAAATCATTTGCCCCTCATCATCAAGTACGGAGAGAAGTATAGCTGACGAAGTTAAAGACGAATATTTTTTCCCCAAATGGTGGACATTATATGAGTAAACGAGTTACGATATACTAAAAACTCCTCCTGAAGCTAAGAGGGACATATTCTGGGCGATACGGAGATATAAGGATAGATATGACTGTGACTGGTCATATCCAGCACTACCTATTTCATCTCAATATAGAGTCAACACTTTTCAGTGCTAAACTATGGAACACGGGGCCAATCGCAGGATACATGCATATCAGGTTCTGTGGTCTATCAAAATAGCTGGCGGTAGAAGCAGTGGTGTAAGTCTCCGGTGATTTTTCAAAAGGGAAACTCGATACTTGTTTTAAATCCAGAAGTACCGTGAGATATTATTCTAAACTTCGTTCGTGTATTTCTCTTCTTATTTGTCAACAACATTTATCCATTGAGTTTTGTTATCTTGGAATGGGAATCGCACTTTCTCATTATCGAGGTCCCTGTACCACTCAGTAAGTCAACAGATTATTATTTCTGTCAAGGAAATTATAAGCCTTTAGTTGACTGTCGAAGTCATTAAGGCTAATATAGTTAAATGGCCGGGCTAATCTTGTGGAATGTCATTGAAATGTTTTGAGCTGTTTTGATGCATCTGGATACAAGGGCAATAAATCGGCAGGTCAACATTAGCACTGCATGAATACATTGAACGTTGCGCCATTACAAATTGGTTCGTCACTTGTTGGAAATGGCATTTCGGCTTGTTTCTCGCAGATTTACTCCACTGATTTCCTCAGTAGGTTCTCGTTTTTGTTGGTGCATAATACAAATCTCTAGATACGTCGTGCTAAAATTGGTTCAGCCACAAATTATGTCCCTTCATTTGAAACGGTTCATATGCCTGAGACTGAAGTGACTACTCTGAAAAATAACGGTTTTCGGATAGCTTCAGAAAACTGGAACACTCCAACATGCACGGTTTGTAACTTTACAATTGTTCCAATTGACTTTAGGTTGGTATTTGGGTGGACGTCGGTAGTAGATTTGAGACGGAATCCAATAATGGCGTTGCTCATTTCCTTGAACATATGGCTTTCAAGGGGACTGAAAAAAGGAGTCAACAGTCTTTAGAACTTGAAGTCGAGAATAAAGGTGCTCATTTGAATGCATATACCTCTCGTGAAATGACGGTGTATTATGCAAAATGTTTTGTTGAAGATCTATCATGGGGTATAGTTTATGTTGTTATAGTACATACTCCCTAGCTGTTGAATTGTTATCAGATATATTGAAAAATAGTAAGTTTGAAGACAGTCAGGTTGAACGCGAAAGAGGGGTCATCTTAAGAGAAATGGAGGTATGTTCAATTTTTGTTTGTTATTTAAAATGTAGGAAATTGAAAGTAATTACCAGGAGGTCGTTTTTGATTACTTGCATGCAACTGCTTATCAAGGAACTCCTCTTGGGAGGACGATCCTCGGACCTGTAGAAAATGTCAAGTCTTTAAAAGCCAATGACATGAGAAATTTTATCAAACAGAACTATAAGGCACCACGAATGGTGCTCAGCGCTGCAGGAGGTATTTGATGAATTATTTCAAGCTATTTTTTAGGAGTCGACCACAAGAAACTGTGCGACCTCGCAGAGAAACATTTCGGCGATTTCCAGGCATCTTATCAGGAAGGGGAGGGGGTACCAAGTCTCCAACGCTGCCGTTTTACTGGCTCTGAAATTCGTGACAGAGATGATGCCATGCCATTAGCTCATGCTGCCATAGCGTTCGAGGGTCCAGGTTGGCTAAGCCCAGACACAGTGGCACTGATGGTTGCTAGCAGTCTGCATGGTGCTTGGGATAGAAGCTATGGCGGAGGATTTAATGTTGCCAGTAAACTCGCTTCCAAATTTTTTAAGGAAAATTCGGTACACAGTTTCCAACATTTCTTTACTTGCTACCATGATACTTCTCTGTGGTTAGTGATTTTTCGAATTTAAATATCGCATAAAACCTAATGATGACGTGATTTATGTAGATGAGATACTCAGTGTTAAACGTTAACAATTTGTCGGCGACAAATTTATCGATAATTACTGCAAGATTTCATAATCGCATAAAAAGAGGGAACCAACAGAAACTAAGATAACTGATCGAAGCATTAATCTATGTATCAAGTATTTAACTGAATTTTAGAATCAACCTTCAACTGTTTAGGATAGTTGCAAACTATAGTGTTACCCTAGTTATCTTTTTTATTTCGAGTAATGTTTAGTCAAACACCCTGCTTCAATACACTAATTAGGCTATGCGTTCCAAATATCACTTGCATGACACAGTTATCAAATAAATATCCAATAATATGAATTGTTTTTAAAAGCCTTTTTCACCAACTCATTTATGTTTAATTTAATGAGGCAGTCAATACATATGTTCTTAACGTGCATTGCACTTCGCTCATGCAACCTTGTCCTTTTCATATGCATAAGATGACGTGTGAGCAGGTATCTCATTGCTTGTCCTGAAATTTTTAGGGGAGTTTACTTAACAGCAGATAAAATGGGTTTGGGCGAATCTGTTGGTGAATTTCTCAACGAGTTTATCCGTATGTGCACTCAGGTTACTCAACATGAAATTGACAGGGCAAAGAACCAGTTAAAAACACATCTCCTCTTACAGTTAGACGGCACTACACCTATTTGTGAAGAAATCGGTCGGCATATGTTAGTGTATGGTCGTCGTATACCAATAACTGAACTGCTAGCTAGAATTGATGTAAGTTAAATTAAATATATATTGAATTTTCTTTTAGATATTTTGTTGAAACTGTTTTTTGAATTCTGCTTAGCTCTTGTTTGTCGCTCTTGTTTCTTTCTGTAAAAACTCTGTTCTCAATTCTACACATTGTTTAGCTAATAGCAATGTAAGCATTTTCCTCAAACCACCTTCAGTCACTTTATTTGATACGCGGAGTGAGAAAGTTTTTTAGGACAAATTCACTTGAGGATCCCGTAAAACCTCTATTACGTAATTTTATGAGGAAAGATGTAGATTGAAATTAATGTACTAAGAATCATTTGTTATTAGTTCAATCATTTTGAAATCATCATCAAGTTTGACGCCACTACTTATTCTCTGTGAGCTACATTTATGAATATGTGGGTCACTTTTAGCAAACAAAAAAGAAAAATATAGATTTGCTGATTTAGTATTTCATTTTGATTAATTTCCAGTTGTGGTAGTGAGTTCAAAATATTTTTGATACTTGTATTGTTACGACAAGTTCAGAAATATCTCTTGGTCATAAAATTAATGATGTTAGTTATATTTTCAGTAAAATAGGGCGTTTCACAGTAGTTGATTGGTGCTGTAGTTATTTAAACAGTAAGTCTGTTGCGTAAGGTTAAGATTGGAAGTTGCTCTTAAATTTAAACCGTAATAAGTTCTTTGACAGTTTAACTGTATTATTGGTATTATTATTGTTATTATTAATGGTTTTTATGTAATACGTTTAGTACACTTGGATTCCCGACACAGTATTTTAACAATTTTCTGTTACAAAATCAAGGGCTTATATATATATATATATATATATATACCCGGAATTAAATGAAATTTAATGTAAGAATCTTATTTGTAACGCGTTACTTATACCTTTGTCTTTTTAAACTTGTTTCACTGAATTATACTTCTTGAATATTATCTTCAAATCCTAATCTCCATTAGCAGTAATTCTTCTACTATCTGTACCACTACGGGATTTGAATTGGCAATTGCGTCTCTGTGCTAATGTGGTCTGGCAACATGAACTGGATGTACTTACGTACGAAGTTTTACGTTGTAACTGACTGACTGCAACGTGTTTAAGAACACAGATAAATGTATAAGTTATTCTTCTGAACAGTATATAAAATGATTTTTCAGAATGTTGTTAACTGTAGTACTTTCCGTACACCTTTTTGTCTAGGCTCTCACTGCTGAACATATTAAAGAAACATGCATGAAGTACTTCTTTGATAAATGCCCTGCTGTCGCGTCTATCGGTAACTGGTTTAATGATGTATTTAATTGCATTGTTCAATATTCACATTCATTTTTACTAAGAGGAAAAGTTGTATCCGCTGTTCAACTAATATTATAACTGGTGTATATGCAGAATATTCATTAGCTTGTGCATGCAACTAGGAAGTGAAACTAGTCAACCTTGGTCATTATTTTATCCACTAGCATGATGTCATCTGATTGATTGTCCTTCAACTATTTAAATAAATTGTAGATTACTTTCTTACATAGTTACTTTAGTTTTAAGGACCGCATTGTCAAAAGACGACCAATTTCTTATGTCATAATAGGGTTGTGAAGGTTGTTTAAATGATCGATTCATGATTTCAGTTAGATTTTGTATGGCTCATGGGGGATTGAATTGCATTTAAGAGAGAGTTTAATAAATTAATGAAGCCAAAACAAATATTTCATTATCTTTTTTCGATATACTTTAGTTTACTTGCGGCAGAATCTAAGTATTTTCAGTTTTCGTGTTATATAAACGTGAAAAACAAGTACACATAGGTTGTGTAAATTTACTTGATATTGCATTCTTATATTTATTTTGTAAAAGTAAAAAGATGTGGAAACTAAAATAGTATGCATTTAGCAACTTAATGCAGTCAACTGTAGTTACACCTACATTTTATTAGACTTTCGTAGCATATTCTCACAAGACATGCAATCTTATAGGAGTTTCGAGATACTTTTTCTGTTTTTCCTCATAATCAAGTGTTGTAGTTGTAGGCAGTTGATAAGTTCTACGAGACTCCCCCACTACAGCGAAACATTGAAAAGTTGCTAAAGGTTTAAGTTTAGAAACATCATTATTTTTAAAATAATAAGATTTCATTGGTCTTGAGTAAATAGGCATATTATTTCAAATATGAATCATATATGTCATAGTACATAAGTTTTCATTTGATTTCAATTTTGTCTGTTATTTATTCATGGACTATAATTTCGGATTTAATTCGGAAGTCTCTAAAATAATTGTCCCTCCTTTTTCCCTTACTCCAGGTCCAGTCGAAACTTTGCTGGATTACAACCGTATTCGGGATAAAACTTGGTGGCTTCGTCTGTAGAGAAATTTTAATGTTTCAAATATCAAGTTCTGTAGATGTTACTACCTACAGCCTAATTATACTTACATAGTTTTATGATTTCTATTGTACGATATTATCTTGTGTTTTGGTAGCAGTATTCCCTTCTTTCTAAAATGGGTCGAGACTTACTTATATTGATATACTTAAATTGTGCATTATGTGTATGTCTGTCATCCATAAATCAGTTTCACTGTGCGAGTGCATGTAAGTAATATCATGAATAGGTTGATATACAGTGAAAGATATAATCTAGTGCTTCAAGTACAGGCAGCGGGAAGTGTTTCGAATTATTCACGAAGCTATGAAATATATAGTTTTTGGCAATACAGTTGAACAGTGCATATCTAGTCATAGGATTTAGTACAGTACTGATCTTACTGCGAGTCTATTCCAGAGTCAAAGGTTCATCAAATAAACGCGTATTAGACATATTTTAATTGATTGCACTAATGCAAAATTGAAATTTTTGTTATTTGAGAAACCTGTATTTTTTCGGGTTTATAATCAGTTATAAATTTCAAAGACAGGCAAATTAATGTTCATGGTAATGTTGAATAAAAATTTAGGTTAAAGAATGTATCAAAGTAAAAAATAAACAACTGCGTTTGTCAACTCTAAATAGTCAAATGCTTCAGCATGCAGTTCATTTGCGGACAGTTAAACTATTTAAAAATAAACACTTATGAGCTTTGTAAGTCACTTTCCTCACCGTCACCACTGTATTTGTGTTAAAGCACAACAATCAATCACATTTCCTTTTATCCCCTCTCTTTTTACGATAACGGTCGCCATTCCGGTTTTGAAATATTTATGACAAGCTGTAAAAACTATTTTGGAGTATTTACAAAGAAATAATTGAGTCTTCCTTTCATATCGGAGCATTTAGTTTCTGTCAACTTACTCATAAGTAAAAAAACATTGTCTTCATACAATGTTAATTATTTTTACACTTCAAGGCAATTTTTATCGACAGACTTTCATCCATGTGTCGTAGGCAAAAATCTCATTGTAGAAACTGTGAAATCTAACAAATATAACTAGTTAGTAGGAGGAAGACAGCAGTTATACCTAACACTGAGTTCCTCATCACACAATGTAGTTAAGAAGGCATCGTCCTAGTTATATCAAAAATTTGCAGGAAGATACATTTGACCAAGATGTGTCAAAATATCTTCGTTCTACAGTTATAAGAATTAGGAGTTTACCTTGGTGTATTAGGTACAATTGTATTACTACTTGCTACATTTCGTCAGCAAGTCGATGTAAGTCCTCTGAGTCTTTGTGAAGTTGGAAAAGCTATAGGAAATCTAAAGCGAGGGAGAGCAGCGGTTCCTGACAGGTTTACCCCGGAGATTTTCGAGGATGATGGTCCAGTTTTAGCGCCTAGATTTACCGAGATCCTAGGTAGAATTTGGGAACTGAACGTAATCCCATCTGACTGGTCCCAATCCTTGATTGTCCCAATTTATAAGAAAGGACGAAAGTCCTCTCGTGACAATCACAGGATTATCAGTCTAACTAATATTTCTAAATCGTTAGCTTCAATTATCCTTAGACGCCCAACTAGAGCTCGTGAAGAACAGACTAGAGAAAACCAGGATGGTTTTCGAACTGGACGTGGCTGTATAGACCACCACAACGACAGGTCCTGGAACACAGACGCTCGTATATCCTGGGACCACCGAGTAAGCAATACAGTCGTTAGGGAATGAGTACTAGGTAAGTATAACAGATCAGTTGATGAAGGAGTGAATGTTCATCAGCTGGTGTGGTTGGGACATGTGTTATGAATGCCTAACCACCGACTGCCTCGACTAGCTATGTTTTGTGGTGTAGCAGGTTGTAAGAAACCTAGGGGCGACCAGACCAAAATATGGCACCGATCCAAGAAGTCACTGACGACTGGGCTGAATTATGTTTGTAAGTGTAGACCACCTGATTGGGGTCCGCGCGATGATTGAAATCGATGGTTGGAGCTATTCAAAAGTCAGTCAGTTGCAACGTAGAACTTCGTACGTATGTACATAAGTTCATGTTGCCATACCACAGCACAGAGACGAAAATGTCAAGTCAAATCCCATAGTGATAAAGATAGTAGAGGTATTAATGGTAATGAAGAAGACTAGGGTTCGAAGATATTATTCAAGAAATATAATTCAGTGAGATAAGGTTAGAAAGACAAAGGTAGAGGTGCTGACGAATCCAGAAGATTAGGATTTGAGAGAGCTCAAAGAATGGATGCACCTGCGCCATTGCAAACGATTTTGAGCCATGTCGTTCAAGGTCTCTAACCATTGATGACTTTCGTCTCGCGGACCCCAACCAGGTAGCCTACATCTACCAACATGACTCAGTCCACTTGTCAGTGACTTCATGGATTTCTGCCATGTTTTGGTCTGGCCGCCCCTGACTTTCTTCCAACCTACTCCTACACCACAAAACATAGCTCGTCGAGGCAGTCGGTGGTTAGGTATTCATAACACATGTCCCAACCACCTCAACTGATGAAGTTTCACCACTTCATCTATTGATTTGCCATCCTTACCTATTATTCGTTTCCTAACGACAGCATTGCTTACTTGGTTGTCCCACGATATACGACCAATGCTTCTAAGACATATATGATCGGAAACTAGTAACCTACGAACATCTACTCTTAGCGGCCATGTTTCACAGCCATATAGGAGAACGGAGCGAACTGCTGCGCAGTACACCCGTCCTTTGGTTAGCGAACGGATATCACGCCTACGCCATAAGTGACGCAGGTTGGCAAAAGCCAATCGAGTTTTCTGTATCCGAGCTGAGATTTCGTCAGTCACCAGGCTATCAGCGCTGATGAGACTCCCCAGATAAGTGAAGTGATCAACACGCTCGACAACTTCACTCCCTATCACTAGTTCAGGTGCCGATGCAACCGAGTCTTGAAGCAACATTTTGCATTTCGAAGGGGAAAACCACATCCCGAACATGCTTGCATTGTTGCTTATGGTAGTCAGAAGATTCTGCATTTTGTCAGCTCTTCAATAACATGGCTCGAAATCGTTTGCTGTGGCAGAGGTGCACCCATTCGTTGGCTTCTCGCAAATCGTAATTGTCTGAATTCATCTTCACCTCTATCTTTCTCTTCCTAAGCTTATTTCACTAAATTATACTTGAGTAGTTTCTTCCAACCCTAATCTCTCCGATTACTGCTAATACTTCTACTACTATGCTATTTGAATCAACAGTTGTGTCTCAAGTAATGCGGTATGGCAACATGAACTGGTGTACGTACGTACGAACTTCTACATTGTAGCTGACTAACTGACTTCATTTAAAAAAATAATGTATTTGGTCCATCTCACATACTGGTTTATGCTCATACTTTGTTTCTAATTCATACTAATAGCGTACCGTCCTACTTGCTGAAACTTCCTTTTATGCCTTACATTAACTAATTACAGATTTACTTTGCAAACTAACAGCGGTAAGCTTGAATGATAAAAATAATTCAGCAACTTATTTAAATACTTTCTCAATAAGTCTGTTCCAATTTTAATTCGACTGTACTGTCGCTTTTTATGTTGACCAAACCATTGGCTTTTTTTTGTTTATTAACTAAGCCGTTAGCTGTGTACAAGTGAGTTAAGTTAAATCCTATAGTCACTTATCGGTTAGTTCGAAAATCAGTTCACTGTTTGTTTACAGTTTCTTCAAAATGCCTGTGGTAAATTTCTTATAGGAATCTACACTGTGAGATGACGGTAAAACTATATGTCAACAAAGGAGACGCTGACTATGTAATAAGCTAACTGAATTTCAAAAGTGAAAACTTTTTGTCTTAAATCTTAAAGTTAATGCGGTCATCATAATAAAAGAATTTTGTATTCTATCGCAAGACATTTGTTTAAACAGAGCTTTCGAGTTCCAAATCTAAACTAAATTGTTTGAATGAACACTACTATGAGTAAAGTATAAAACAGAGCTACGAATGTATGGCATTTGATAACTTGCTTAGACTGGCTGGTTAGGGTTTACGAGACAGCCTTCTCTCAAATTCTAATCTGAATTCCTCATGGACTTTTTTCGCTTAAATTTATTTCACTGGGATATACTTCTCGAATCACATATTCGATTCTTATTCTTTTCCATTACCACCAATACTGCTACTACTATGGGATTTGAACTGACAATTCCATTTCCCTGCTAATGTGGTGTGACAACTTGGACTGATGTACGTACGCACCAAGTTATATGTTGTAGCTGACTGACTGAACCGTTGTTTAAGGAAAAATGAGCGTATATTACTTGTAATCGAAGGTAAACACTGTTCAGATATATTCAGTAATATTTTAAACACTGTTACAAATTAAGTAATAAACCTGCATAAATATAAAGCATTGAATTATCAGAGGTTAAAATGATTACTTTGAGAATAATATTAGCGTAAAGAAAAATTCAGTAACAAAGTAAAGCTTAATGTACTTGATCTTCAGTTGCGCTTTATGTGATTGGTACCGATGGTGTGTTACTACTCAGTCCGGAGTATGTGGAGCGGAGTTGGAGTCAGCAGCCTATTATTTGGAATCTACTTGCTGTTACAAATACGTAGCTGCCGCACAAGATTTATAGAATGAAATTTTTTACCTAGTTGATTCTATCCCCAACAGAATGATCAGTAGTTTAAAAATGAAAAGTCTAGGACATAATTTTTTGAAGTAATAATGTTCATCAAAATAAGTTTATGGTACTTTATCGTTGTAGTAAGTTGCGAATAAAAGGACCTATGCACGGAAAGTTGTTAGTAGTTATCACTATTATTGTGCTGCGATATAGACGGGTTTATGTTTCTGTTTTCTAGAGAATATTCTATGTGCTAAAAAAGCCATTAATATTCACCGAATATTGCAGTGGAGTTCTGTAGAAAAATTTAAGTAATTGTAGATGTTCAAAATGGTAGTAATCGGTATATTATTGTAATTAGAAGGCGAATATGATTACTCCGTTGAATTCCAAGCAGATAGAAACAGCCTGTGTTTCCTCATTTAACGAGCAGGTATAAAATTCGTGCTTTTTCTTATAGTTGTAAGTTATTTTCCGACCTAACAAAAATGCTTATATTTGTTTCGTTGTATGATATTTTAATTGTAGATACTGGTCTGATTTTACTTTCAATAAACTTGCCATTCACATTTTAGTTAAGCATTCACTGAGTGTTTACACAATATCAAGTTTGGAACATGAACTAAATGTTCTAGCTTAGATCTTGTGTAAAATAATAGATGTGCATTAATTAGTCTCAAAATAAAAGTTAAATGTCCACAAAGCTTCAATAATTATTCAATCGATATTGGTTTGTGATGACAACTAATTACAAAATAATGATCTTCATAAACTTATTTATATGAATGGGATTTATTCATTTCAAGTTATACTGGTGGATAGAAATTAGTTTTCGAAATAACTGTCACTTCTTCAATATGATACATATCAACAATTTTTTATTACCAAAATATATTGGAAACTATTTACACTACCATTGTTCGTCCTATTATGTTCACTTATTTTCCATATACTCTGATTATCCCCTCTTCGTTAACTATAAATAAGTCTTTCGTAAATATAGACCAATAAGATTTTCAAGCCAACGAGCATATGAAATCAGTTGGCCAATGAAAAGACAGCCATATTTTTCTACATTTTGAAATGTTGAAAAAGTTTCACTGTTTATATTTTTAAAATTTTACTAACCATGTTTGTAGATATGACAAGGTTAGATTTGCACACAAATAACTTTAAACTGTTCAGGTTGATTGCATTTTTAATTTTAATCGCATTACCTTCTCTATTGAAAGATCATTAGATATATTATTATATCATCAAAGATATAATACAACTTTTTTCAAATTTAACTAAAATGGATACTTTGAATAGCAATTGCAGTGAATTGCAGACAATCAATTCTACAAATTCTTCATTTAAGATGATTTTATTTGTCAATATAAAATGTTTTGCAATTATTATTCAGTTAATTGGGATACCATTAAATTTGTCTGTACTGCATGGACTATTCAATGTGAAATTAGGATCACGTTTAACAACACTACTATTATGTAACCAGTGTGTATTTGATTGTCTTATTTGTACATTTGCTTTATTGAAAATAGTGAAATCTGAACGTTGGTATACAGGTTATATTATTATTGATAGTATACTATGTTATTTGTGGTTTAGTCATACATTATTTTGGCTGGTTGTATTATTAAGTTTGAGTAATATGATGTGTACAGCCTTCGATCGGTTAGGAGCTGTTGTCTATAGTCGTACATATCAATCACGTCAAAATATTTACATAATATTATCATATACAAGCATTTCAATTTATTCATTGATATTAATTGCCATCAACCCTCTATTATTACAATATCGTGATCAAAAATGTTATGATACTACACTATATGATAAAAACTGGATATATATATTAATAAAAGTGGATTCTATACTATGGCCATGTCTTACTTATTTATTCCCGTGTATTTTAACTGTCAGTGTATATGGCAAAGTTATAGCAGTGTTGAGAAGTCCAACAATTTGTCATCAATCTAATAATGATAGTTGTAGTGCTGCCAATGATAAAATCAATATAGACAATTGTAGCAATAACAGTTGGACACGTAACATATCCAGTCATAAATTGACTATATCCTATACTAAACAGAAACGACATCGTAAAATTGCTCAATCTTTAACAATAGCTACATGTATTATGCAAGCAATATTTTTAATTACTCATTCATATGATAGAATTTATTACTTTCTTAGTATACATCGATGGATACTTTATCAAATCGACTGTACAACTCATCTAATTGGTTTATGGCTTGTAACATTAAACAGTTGCATTAATCCAAGTACGCTTATATTTATTGTACGTCCATTACAAATCTATCTTATTCAAACAATTAATCAATGCTGTTGTAAATACTTGAAACGATGTGCAAAGATATGCAAAGATCAAATTATCCAAGTGAACAACAGTCTGAGACGTGTTTAAACAAGGCAGAATTTGGAAATAGGTCAAATCGAATAAAATAACAATCAAGTATCATGTTTATAAAAAATCTATGATGGGGAAAAAACAATTTTTCTAAAAGGTATTTAGATTTAGAGTGGCGTTTTTCAAGTCATGCAATGTTAGCTGTCTGTTGGTGAACATTAGGAGTGAGACAATAATCAAGGAAATCAAATATCTTTTTCAAACCAAACAATCGATTGTTACATTTTTCTAATTTCAATATTTAAATAAATGTGTATGTGGTATCGTTGAAGTTTTATTACGAAGGACAGTGACGTGGACATAATAATTATTATTTCTTTTATACTTACGTACTTACGCCTGTTACCCCCAATGGAGCATAGGCCGCCCACCAGTTTTCTCCAACCAACTCTGTCCTCGGCTTCCTTTTCCACTTCTGTCCAATGTTTGTTCATTCCTCTCATATCTTTCTCTATTTCTCGGCGTAATGTATTCTTTGGCCTTCCTCTTTTCCTTTTGCCTTGAGGGTTCCATGTGAGGGCTTGTCTCGTGACGCAGTTAGGTGCTTTTCGTAGTGTATGTCCTATCCACTTTGACCGCTTCTTCCTGATTTCCTCCTCCACTGGAATCTGGTTTGTTCTCTCCCACAGTACGTTGTTGCTGATTGTGTCTGGCCAACGAATACGAAGTATTTTGCGTAGACAACTGTTAATAAACACTTGTATCTTCTGGATGATGGCTTTCGTAGGTCTCCAAGTTTCCGCTCCATACAGTAGAATTGTCTTCACATTTGTATTGAAAATCCTGATTTTAGTTTTGGTTGAAAGTTGTTTGGAGTTCCAGATATTTTTCAACTATAGAAATGCAGCCCTTGCTTTGCCGATTCGCTCCCTCACATCTGCATCGGATCCACCTTGGTTGTCGATGATGCTGCCCAGATATGTAAAGGTGTCAACGTCCTCCAAGGCATCTCCATCAAGAGTGATTTGGTTGGTGCATGTTGTGTTACATCGGAGAATTTTGCTTTTTCCTTTATGTATGTTGAGACCTACTGCTGCTACACTGGTCGTCTTCTCTTGCATTTGTTGTTGAGTGTGCGATAGAAGAAACATGAAACAATTTGTCAAATAGAAACTATATCACAATTTTAAAACCCAGTACCTAAGAAATGACAAAGAATGAATCCACCTGCTTAATTGCGATCGATCGTGGGGTTTATCATCGTTTCCAATCACTGGTAATGGTGATTGTTAGAACCACAACTAAGTATTCTGCATCTACCAATACGAATCAATCCAACAGTCAATGATTTAAAGGACTAATGTTAGATCTTAGTTTGGATAGCCCTAAATTTCCTCCAGTCGAATCCCGCTCATGAAAACATCACTTGTAGAAGTAAGCCGTGTGTAAATATATGTTATACATGTCCTAACTAACTCAATTATTATAGATTCACTATCTTATCAATTTGTTTGCCATCGTTAACAGGTACTTTATGTTTAAACAAAGTAGTAAGACTTTTTTAATCCAAGGGTTTTAGGTTTAACTGAACTAGATAGTTCGTGAACATCATTTCAATTTGAAAATAGTTTTCAACGCTCATTAATAACAGTTTGTAGGATCATGTTAATGGTAAAACCGCTAATAAGATTATATGACTGAAGCTGAAAATGCAGAGCCCTCGGTTCTCACTACTTATAAGCGTCAAATTCATCGTTCATAGTGATAACAGATAAGTGATAATTATGCTCTGGATCATTTAGTGATATTGAATCAAATCTCCTGGAGATTAATAGTTCCTCGAAACTCGAAAACGTATCTTGTTTGTGGAGGTGTAATAAACCTGAAACCTTGCTTTGCGCTTTCATGAAGATTCCCCATATTATTTATTAGTATTGCTTTATTGGCATATCATATAATATGGAAATATTTGAATCATTAAACATGAAATTTTTTCTGTTTATTTGAATACAGGAGTTTTATGTGAATGTTTTTTTTTTCAGAAATAAACAAAATAATTCTTCATTTGCCATAGAACAGTTACAGTTTATGAATAAAGAAGTTAAATTCTGTTTTCACTTTAACTTGTTTTTATATAAATATTACAAAACATCTTTGATTACTAGTAAAGTATTCATATCAAATAATTCTTATTTATGTTATAACAAGAATAGTAAGTAGGCAAAATATGATAGGCTGTATGTTATTGAAGTATATCTGGACGAAATACCAAAGATTCTATGAATTCTAACTTAAATAGTTTTACCACCGAATTAGTATTTCTTCTGCTGCAGTCAAATGGTTGTTTATTTTGTATAGCTTAGTGTATGATGTGAAAAGATGAATACGATTTTAATAAAGCCAACTAAATCCTTATTTAAAGATGACTGGATAAAATCGACAGAACTCTCAGTTTTATCCTACATTATACTTGTTAACAAATGTTATATGCAATCTTGAAATATCTGTTATTTTTCGTACTAGAATCGACTCAGTCATTTCATGTGAGAGATGCTATCACTGATAAGCTGAATATGTAATTTAATTCAAAAAACAAGTAAACTTATTGACTACGTAAACAACAAAAGTTCATCAAATTCTTGATGAAAAAAGAGTAGTGACTATTGACATGAAATAAAATATGCATTTTTGAAATTTTATATTCAACTTTCCTGTCAATAGCTATATACGCATGATCACATGAAAGCATTTCGAGAAGGAGAGCAGGCTCTCATCACTCTTGGCCATACCAGGGCATTTGGAAGCGACTATATGCTAGACAAACATTAGACACGATTATTTTACTTTTCCATTGAAAGGTTTACTACATTTTCTTTCTAGGTACAAAGGTCAAATCAGGATTATTCTATGGCAATAGCCTGTGAAACAAGAACTAAAAGCAGTATTCCCTGGTTGTTAATGATTTTGAACCCGATGAAGATATCCACGATATGTTCATTAACCTGTAAGTGTCTAGTAACGATACATGTGAATGCTTGACTTCCTCTTAGATACAATTTTGGAGAGAAGTTTAAAAAGCCTTGTGAATGTCCTTCTCTCCGTTCTTCTTATGAAGCGCAAATACAAATAAGCTGGTAAATATTCTTGGAAGTAACGTCAGAAGAGTAATATTTAACTTTTGATTGGTTGAGGAAACATGTACTATTGTACACTGAAAAAATTTAGGAGTCAAAGAAGCTCTTTTCTAGCTCTATATTAATTCTTCTATCAACTTTACTTAAAATCGCATCTCCTTCGAATTCGAATACGATTGAAGATAAGTTTTTTTCCTAACAGTCTATTTTTAAATTCAAAAAATAGGTAACTGTTGAGCATATGTATATTGTTAAGTGTAAAAAACTATATAGATAGAAAGATTATATCTAAAATGCCTTTAACACAGTCATGAAACATTAGATGATCGTTTAGCAAACTATTCTTAATTTCCTGAATACAAATAATAAAATGTTCCAAAAAAAGAAAGTTCGTAATAGTTACTATTTGAATAATAGTTGCGTAAAAAGAAGAACAAATATCATAGTAGAATAACAAGAATTCTTATATTATTAGTTTTGAGATTCTTCTTAGCTTCTTACAACTTGAAACCATAATATTTATTAATCATTAAACCGAAATAAGTGTACATAATTTATATCAGAAATATCTGAAATAACTTTAGTGAAAATATGGAGATAGAATAAAGAAACCATAATATGGAAGAATTGAAATTGTTTAAACGTTCGCTTATTTATAGATTAATCTGATGAATTTGTTAGGAAAGCACAGAAACAGAATTCTTTTTTGCCAAAACAGAAAATCGATAACATACTATTCTTAAATATCCGTAGCAAAATTTTCTGTAACTAAAGCTGTCATTATGTGCATATGTAAATGCAAACTAGCTTGATGATAGACTGACAGAATTAATGATAAGTTTAAAATAATACAGTATGAATTATTTTAAAGTTAGCGTGTCTCACTAAATATTATTTATCGACTACTTAGATCGTTCTGTGTATTCTGTTTTCTTTTCTAATTGTCTGAAAAGTTTATTCTAGAAGCATGAAACCTTATAATTGCTTATGGCAACAATAAATCCCAGTATCACAGGTTCCCGTTGCTTTATATAGAACCTGAAATAAAAAAAAAACAATTGTTACTCTCAAAGAAACTTAGTTTATTTAAGTGTTTGTATGTGTTGTTAATATTGTTGTTGCAGTTACAAATTTTATTTCAGCTACTGCTTCATTATTTTCGAAAATTATCTATTCACCTTACTGATACCTAGAATATTTTGAAAGAAAAAAATTTTTTCAAAAGTTCATGAAAATGAAATGTATAACTGTTTGTATCCTAAATGATAATATTAATAATAATTGAACGTTGAATTTCAATCTAATATATTACACCTGATTTAATTTTATTCATCGTACATTGAATTATGTAAATACTTTTGTTTTGAATAATATATCAAATACTATTAGACGCAATATTTATTGACAATAAAATTATTTTAACATATTAAATTCACATTTTCAAGGCTTAGAGAAATGATTTACTTACAAAAAATATTTCAAGAACTAATAAGCAAGAACAAAAATATTTGTCATGTTTGTATTGCATCAAGGCAGAAATGAATAAAAAATATCAGTCATTTAGTCATATTTATTTTTATCTTTGATAAAATTTATTTATAAATTGACAGTTGAATATTTTGTTTGTTAAGCCATAGCTTTATTTTCTTCATATAGAAATTTATGTACTCAATCTGTGTTAGCTTATGAGTTTATCTCTTTAAAATCTATTTGATTGGGTTTTTGAATAATAAAATTATCAATCAGTTATTTCATTATCTTTTTATAATAATAATAATAATAATTTTGACATCGAAAACAATTTCTGTGAATTGTGAATAAAAAAGAAGATCAAACGATTGTTATAGATGTTAGTGCCAATGAAATCTGTTCATTTTTTGTTTAGTGACAAAAACAAAGTGAATTTTTTTAAATTTGATCATA